GCCCCCCCCCCCCGACCGATCTTTCAAGGTATGATATTCTTGCAGACTGTGCTGAATTTTATTTCAAAGTAGTGTGAGTCCCACTTTCATCAGGAAACCACACAGCCTTTCTCCTTCCCCAGAACTCGTTCCTGTACGGATGGAACTGTCTGTGTTGAGCTGTATGTCCTCGCATATCCGGAGGGTTTTTTGTCTTATCAACAGTTTAAGATGCTTAAGTTACAGGACTCTAGTGCTAACATCCAACAGTTGCACAAGGACTCCTTTCTCTGTGCAGATCCTGAAAATGGAGGTGGTCATTCCAAAAATCATGAGGCTGCCCAAGTGGACACCACCTTCAATTTTAAGCGTACTCTACTGGAGCTCAACATGTGCCCAGAAGTCTTAGTGTGAAGTACCTTATCCTTGGTAACTTGCTGACTCTCGTTATCTGGAGCTATGCCCGTGTCCTTGTCAAAGCTGACACTGTTGTAAAAGCATCTGATGATCACGTGGCGCTTGACACTGTAGCTGCTGTTTGGGTTAAAGCCCTTCTTCAGACAAATGTGATCGTGTGGGATTTCTACCTAGGAGGCCCCAGCAGTGTCACCGTACTGGTGGGCTGCAGTTTTGAAGGTAGAATGAAGGAATATTTACCACTGACTACCACTGCTTTTTTGAAATACACAGACTCCCTATACTTTCATACTTGCTATCTTGCCTGGAATTCAGCTGTGCTGCAGTTCTGCGGTGAGAGGGGATTGCAGTGGCACCATTTCCTTGCGTGTACACCTCTACTTCAGGTACTGGGCTGTGACAGAGAGGGACCTTCAGCACCACACTTTCCATTCTGCCAGAGTTTAAAAATGTTGTGCATTGGTAATACCATGTAGATTCACTCGCAGTGAGATTATACACGTGGACTGCAGCACAAAGAAAAGTGTTTATCGGTCAGCAATTTCACTCTCCCAGATATGTGTTATACCTGAGAGAGGTATGGATCTTAATGTATGCATTACTAAATAGTAACTCAAATATGGCTGTCACACAAGCTCACTCACTGCTACCTGCTTGTTTTACTGTATATAGGACCTGACTATGGATAAGCACTAACTAAGAGGGCACCATTATAGTTTGGGACCTTTTAGGATCGACTATTCTGTTGAAATATCTGGGCATTTGAATAAAGAAGAGACTGCATTGCCTAATCAGTTTTTCCTTCTGCTTTGAAGCAGTTTTCTTTTTCTATGTAACTGCAAAACAAATATTAGAATAGAGCTCAAAAGCCATATTTAATACCATTGCAGAATACATCATAATGCTTTGTATCTACAGGATAATTTCGAAGCACTCTCTAAAGTTTCTTTAAAAAAAAAA